CCCTACTCTGTGAGGGATGGGGGGAGCTCCTCAACAATCGGCCCTGCTCTGTGCGTGACAGGGGGGAGCTCCCCAACCCCTTGATCAGCCCTGCTGTGTGCCTGATAGGGGGGAGCTCCCCAACCCCCTGATCTCCCTGCAGCTCTGTGTGTGACAGGGGGCGGGGCCACACCCTCCCTATCCGCCCTGCTCTGTTCGTGACAGGGAAGGCACCCCAACTCCCTGATCAGCCCTGTTCTGTGCCTCATAGGGGGAGCGCCCCAACCCTATGATCGCCCTGCGGCTCTGTGTGTGACAGGGGGCAGTGCCCCAACCCCCTGATTGGCCCTGCTCTGTGGGTGATAGAGGGCGGCGCCCCAACCCCCTGATCCGCCCTGCTCTGTGTGTAACAGGGGGCAGTGCCCCAACTCCCCTATCGGCCCTACTCTGTGAGTGACAGGGGGAGCTTCTCAACCCCCTGATCGGCCCTGCTGTGTGCGTGACAGGGGGCAGCGCCACAACCCCTTGATTGGCCCTTCTCTGTGCGTGACAGGGGGTGGCGCCGCAACCTCCCCATGGACCCTGCCTTGAGTGTGACAGGGGGTGGTGCCCCAACCCCCCAATCGGCCCTACCCTGAGCATGACTGAGGGTGGCATCACAACCTCCCAATCTGCCCTGCTCTGTGCATGACAGGGGGCGGCGCGCCAACTCCCCAATCGGCCCTGCTCTGTGCCCGACCAGGGGCTGCACCTAGGGATTGGGCCTGCCCTCTGCCACCTGGGAGCAGGCCTAAGCCAGCAGGTCGTTATCTCCCGAGGGGTCCCAGACTGCGCGAGGGCACAGGCCGGGCTGAGGGACCCCCCCCCCAGTCCCCAAATTTGTGTGCACCAGGCCTCTAGTTCTATATAATAAAAGGGTAACATGCAAATTGACCCTAACAGCAGAACGACTGGGAATGACTGGTCACTATGACACACACTGACCACCAGGGGGCAGATGCTCAACGCAGGAGCTGCCCTCTGGTGGTCAGTGTGCTTTCACATGGGGAGCTCTGCTCAGCCACAATCCAAGTTGATGGCTGCCAGTACAGCGGTGGTGGCGGAAGCCTCTCCTGCCTCCTCAGCAGCACTAAGGCTGTCCGACTGCAGCTTAGGTCAGCTCCCTGCTGGCAAGTGGACATCCCCCGAGGGCTGCCAGGGGATGTCTGCCAGCTTGGGCCTGATCCCCCAGGGAGTGGGCCTAAGCCAGCAGGTGGACATCCTCTGAGGGGTCCCAGACTGCAAGAGAGCATAGGCCGGGCTGAGGGAACACACCCCCTACCCCCGAGTGCACAAATTTTTGTGCACCGGGCCTCTAGTATTTTCATAACTATTCCTTTGAATAGATACATTCCAGTGTACTGAACCAGTGTCTGTGATTGATTTGGACATTCAGGTTGTTTCCTTTTCTGGTGGTAATGAATATCACCAAGATAATTTTCAATTTCCTTGAATATAGATCCCTCTTTTCTGGGGGCTTCCATCATCCCCTCCCCTCATTTCAGGCGGGAATGCAGGGAAGCCAGACGAGTTGCGAGAACAAAGCACCTTGGGAACTTGTTTGTAGGCTCCCTGGAGAGCCCCACTCTGTGGGTGATAGAGGGCGGCGCCCTAACCCCCTGATCCGCCCTGCTCTGTGTGTGACAGGGTGCCCCAACTCCCCTATTGGCCCTACTCTGTGAGTGACGGGGGGAGCTTCTCAACCCCCTGATCAGCCCTGCTCTGTGTGTGACAGAGTACAGAGCCCCCACAGGGAGGCCCTCTGGTCTGGGAAGTTGTCCTCAGGGACTCAGCCATGCCAGGGCCCTGAAGGGCGGTGTCCACTGGCCAGGCAGCTGAGCTCGCCTGTGGACGGGGCACAGAGGCCACAGTCTAGGAAACCTCCCATCCATAGGACATTCTCCTGGTGCAATTTGGTTCTGCCCTGCCAGGAGGCAGGCCGCTCAGTGAGAGGTGGCTGTCCTTTTGAGTGGTTAGAAACCCCGCCCCACTCTCTACTCCTTTAAAAAACATTTTTTACTGATTTCAGAGAAGGGAGAGGGGGAGAGGGATAGAAACATCAATGATGAGAGAATCATGGATGCACTGCTTCCTGCGTGTCCCCCGCTGGGGATGGAGCCCACATCCTGGGCATGTGCCCTGACTGGGAACTGAACCACCTGGTTCATAGGTGCACGCTCAACCACTGAGCCACATGCGGACTCCACTTCTCTTCTGCCCATTTTCTAGCTGAGTGGTCCCCACCCAGCCCCCAGGGAGCGTTTTGTAACTGTGGGCTTTCTTTTTGTAATTGCAGCCACGGAGGGGCGCACCGGCCCCTGGCTGTGGTGGGGTAAGATGTTCCCGAGCAGCCTGCACAGGGAAGCATTGCCTGCCCAGGTCCTCAAACGTCCCCTGGGACGTTCATGTAGGTGAAATGTTTAATTATCTGAGTCTAAAATTTAATACGGTTAAAAAACCGGTTTTAATATACAGTGAACTTTCTAGGAATGCAATTACAGCAGCGTGTGAATGTAGGGGAGGAGGCCGCTAGGAGTGCTCACCACCTCTCACATCTGGGCACCGAGGGCGGAGGCGGCGGCTCCCGTGGGCGGGCGGCAGCGCCACCCCCACTCCACGGAGCTCCCGCCGCTCCCAGTCAGGCTCCGCACTCACACATCAGAATGCTGTGCGTGTTATTTTACTACAAATTACGTTTTTCCATGCCCCGTCCTGTGACAGCAGGGCCGCGGGTGGCTCTGGCAGTGGTACGCATGGAGTTAGGCGACATTATCGATGGCTGCAGAGCCGCACAGGGACGTGGTCATCATGAAATGTTGGTTATGAAAAACGTGAAGCTTGAGCCCTCGGCGCCGATGGGCCGCACAGTGCTTGGTTCCCGCCCCTCGCGGGCTCATCCG